CATCTCTCAGGAAGTTCTCGACTCGCAGAAGATGTGGGAGATGGAGGTCAAGTCAAGGTCGAAGCTCGGACTACGGGTAGGGGCCGCTTCATACGTTTTTAAAAATGTAAATTTTGGTATATTTTTTTACATTTCCTGCGGAGTCAGGTGGTTGGTGACACCCACTAATCTCCAGTATTGTAAGTAGGTCCCAGAGATCCCCCCTGTTGTCAGAAATAAAATTCAGTCTTAACACTAACTAGTCTTAACATTAACTTTTTCTTGTAATCGATCGTGCGTGTAGTTTCCATGGCGATCGTAAATAGATCGGGGGGAGAGGCGGTCTTACAATGAGGGAAATAACGAATGATAGCGGCATTGAAAGTTCGTTGTTTGTTCGTTCAGATTTTTTCGAGGTTTAAGTTTAAAAGGTCGATCGTCTGCGCGTGCGTATGTTGCCGTGACGACGACGTTTGTTGTTTACAGCTCGCCCAGATGGAGCGTAGCGGAGCAACGACTCTCGCGCAAGTTGACGAGGTAAGCCCCTAGATGGCGCTCTCTAAACACAAGCACGGCTCATTGCAATCCCAGCTGTCATGTACCTAAGCCAATTTTACCAATTTTACCATCTTTAGTGAATTTTCCAGCGAATCTGAAAAAAACTGTAGAAATGATGGTTAGCGGCACCAAATTATGCACAGTGGCCTTTTAATTAATTATCTTATTATTATTATTATTATAATTATTAATATTATTATATTATAATTATAATTTATTATTATTTCCCTTCCGCCCCTTTAATTAAATAAGATGAAGACACATTTGGCATTTTTCAAAATGGCCACTTTTTTCAATATGACAGTCAGATATTAATGTAATGAAATGGTACTAGTAGTACTACTAGTAGTAAATACTAATAGTACAGGTAATGAATCTAAACTTTATTATAATTAGCTAAACAATATACCTACCGTATATGATCGCGTAATAACCGCGGGCGCCTATAAGCCGCACCTCAATTTGAATCGGGTAATCAAGTATTGCGCCTAGTATATTTCCCCTCATGGTATGGCGCACTACCGCAGAGCAAATACAGGGTTGAAATCTGAGGCCAAATTTGCGGTTATTACACGAGTATATACGGTAATAACAGCTAGTGTAATGAAATAACACAATAATAAAACAATAAAATTAATCGCTTCTCGATTATCTAAACTCAATCAGACAAAGTTCCAAATGCAGAGGGCGCTGGAGATCCAGAAGTCGTCCGAAGATCAGCTTCAACAGGAGCGCTTGCAGACTGCCGAACTACGCCAACAGGTGGCGCTGCTAAAGACGCAGCTCAAGACGGTAAAGGCAAAGATGAAGGTGAGTGAGCGTCGCTTATAACTAAGTGTTTTATTGCAGCACGTGCGTGTGTGCGAGTATGTGCGTGTGCGTGTGCGTGTGCGTGTGCGTGTGCGTGTGCGTGTCTGTGTACTGTACATGTATATATACTGTGTACATGTATATTTACTGTGTACATGTACATGTATATTTTAGGCTGTGTACATGATATCATGATAATTACTGTGTGGCAGTAACATGCTACATTTACTGTTATGTGTACATGTAAATTCCTGTGTGGCATGTACTATGTAGCATTACTGTGTACACTTCACCATGTATATTTTACTGTGTAGCATGTACATGTATATTTACTGTGTATATGTACATGTATATTCACTGTGTACACACAGTGTGTGTGCGTGCGTGCATGCGCGTGTGTACGAGTGTGTGCGCGCATGACTGTGCATGAGTGTGTTTGTGTGTGTGTGTGCGTGCGTGCGGGCGTGCGTGCGTGCGTGCGTGCGTGCGTGC